CTGGTCGCCGTGAGGGCGGCGGTCAGGCTGCCTTCGGTGGCATGCCTGCGGGAGGTCCGCTGGTCCCGCGGATTCGGCGGCAATTTGGCGGCGGACCTCCCGCAGGCATGCCACCGAATCGGCGTGACCAGCTGACTACCCTCAGGTGCGTCGACGAAAGCCGCGTGACATAACACATGGCCTGCTGAACACACGCAGGTCTAGTCAGCATTATTACTAAAGAAGGGAGCTGTGTGTCCCTGAATCTTAGGCCTGGTCTACACTGGGGCAGCGGGGGCAGGGGAGGAAGGGAATCGATCTAAGTTACACAACTTCAGTTACGTCACTAACATAGCTGAAGTCGACGTACTTAGATCTACTCACTGTGGTGTCTTCAGTGCGGTGAGTCAATTGCTGCCGCTCCCCCGTCAACTCCGCCTGCACCTCTCATGCAGGTGGAGTACAGGAGTCAATGGGAGAGCACTCGCGGGTCGATTTATTGTGTCTAGACTAGATGCGATAAATGGACTTCCGCTGGATCGATCGCTGCCCGCCAATCTAGTGGGTAGTATAGACATACCCTTAGTTTCTAGATAAACCGCTTTAAAAAAAAAGGTATTACATACTTTCCTTAGCCACACACAGCGGATACTAATATTGCTTGTTCTTTTCATTTGCAAGAAAGCCCTGATAGACCTGTATATAAACAAGGCTTGTGCAAACCTGTGAATCCTTGATTCACACGCATTTTTGTTTCTGGAACTTAATGCTAAAGCTCTTATTGATTTAAATTGTGTGGGATCAGCCCTTAATGAGTCCAAGTGATGGAGAATCCATCACATTCTATGGTAAAATGTTCTAAAGGTTGATTGGTTTTTATGAGGTTGCTTCAGGGATCTCCCACACTTTTATCATCTTTACCATATTTATTCCCCGTGCTGACTCTCTCTACAAGTGAAAAGAAGCGGTAAAAGGTGAGGAGCGCTATTCCTTCTGTCCTCACTCCTACATTCCCAACAAGTGAGGCAGGCTACTTTCTCTTTGTGCCCACCTTAGGGCATGTCTACACTGAAGCTGGCGCACTAACACTAGAAATTTATCCGTGGTGGCATGAGCGGCTAGCCACCCAAGTATATTCTGAAGGTCTCGGAAGGGGGCGTACTCGGGATGGCTAGTCCATCCAGCTGCACGCACCACCATGGCTACCACTCTATTTTTAGCGCACTAGCTCGCTCCGAGCTAGAATGGGCTTATCACCCCCTCCAAGAAATTACACCTTCATCTCCAGTGTACACATACCCATAAGGGTAGCAGAACTGAGGCCGCTCTTTCCTGTTGTTGTGTCGAGCCTTGTTCTAGGAGACAGCACTTGCTCAAGAATGACATGCCCTCTACCTATGAAAAAACTGCACAAGCTGGAACCCCAGCACTGGGACACAAATTCTGGCCATGATTTTCATTTCTGAGCTTTCCATTTTCCATTGTGCCTCTCTCACTAATAAATGCGGTGGGGGGTTTTCTAAACAGAAAAAGGAGAGAGGCCAAGACTTGGTGCTATAGTGCAAATGGACAGAGTCAGACACATCTCACCTGCAGAGAAGGGCAGGAAACTTTCTCTCTTCTTGAACTGACCATCCTCCAGGAAATGCTTAGGATTAAAAGTATGAGGGGTTTCCCACTCATTCTTGTCAAACAGCACTGATGTCAAATTTGGAATCAAAACAGTGCCCTAAAG